TATTGTTTCACGCACGGTCATGCTGTTTTTTAGTACACTTTTGGTGTAAATGAGCTGAGTGTATTGCGAGTGCCTCTTCACATTTTCTCTCTGAAAGAGAGGACCACTTGTTTGCGACATTCCTCAGCTGCTTGTAAAGCAAACAACGATTTCTTCTCATGGATACTGCTTGAGGAGAGAGTTGAAAGTGGCTTCAGTTTCGCGCATTCATGCACACACCTGTGCTAGTTTTTCAGCGAGCTAAGCCAGCCAGGTGTTGAAGGACACTTCTGTCAACAGCTGAGTTCAAGGACTGTAGACAATGCAAATGTGTTCTAGAAAGGAATTCATGGAATTCAGAAACATCTCTAAACGCTGACTAAAGCGTTTGAAAGCCAAGGAAATCCGAAAATTTGTGAATACAGACCGTTAATTTTGCGCACAGTTGGGGGGAAGGGAAATTTGTATTATAAATTGCTCACTATCACTCGAAATAAACAGGAGTTTATTCCCTCGTTTTGCCCCCTTCCTCATTCTCTTCTCGTTTTTTTCCGCATTGGAGAACTGTAACAATTGAACCGTAACTCATCTATGCAATTATTAGTTTTCCTCAGCTGTTTAGAATTTGCTTCTTCATGCATCTTTTTAACCACTGCCTTGATGCTGCTTTCTGGCATTGGCAAAACTCCGTTGTGAGCCGGCTTGAAGATTATAACAACTCATTTTCATAAATTCCTTTTTGCCAGGTCCGAGATGTCGCGACCAGCCGGCGCAAATTATGAGATTTTCAAAAATTTTGTTGCCGGTGGTTTCGGCGGGACGTGCTGCGTGGCTGCCGGGCATCCGTTTGATACGGTGAAGGTACGCTTGCAAACGATGCCAAAACCGGCTCCTGGTATGCGGCCATTGTATACGGGTGCTCTGGATTGCGTGAGACAAACTGTTTCCAGGGAAGGATTTTTTGCTCTTTATAAAGTTTGTTTTTCATCATATAATGAAATTTCTCACTAAATAAAGTGCCCTGTAGAATTTTTTCACCACCAGGAGAAAAGATATTACCGGTGAAATAGCTGTGAGGAAGTTGTGTACTTATACCGTCAATTACATATGAGGAAGCACTCGTTGCCCTGGATTGAAGGGTCTGGCTAACTCTAAAAATTTGTCATTCCTTCCTCCGTCACTTTTCCTCGTTTTCGGT